CGGCGTGCACCGTTTCCTGCCGCCTCTTCAGCTAAGTTTTTTTTTGTTACAAGTCCTGGACGGACTTTTGTGGTTAGGGGAGGTGCAAAGAAGTAAAGAGTACGGTAGGCTGGCAGCAACATGTTGTGATTTCCAGGCTTGCCGGCTCGAGTTGAGCGACGATGATAACAAGGACGGCGGAGAGAGCAACAGTGCATGGTCATTGAGGAAGGCGCAGGATCGCTGGTAAGTCGCAGAACCCGCCGCTGCCCGAGCGCCCCGAAGACTGTCTACTCAATCGTATATCCATGTATCCGGTACCTTCGCTTCATACTCTGTACGCAGTTCCATTCTATTCGCAGCTCTGTTCTACTCGCGGTTCCATCCTAATAAATCTTCGTATTCAATCTCTAGTTACCTAGCAAGGGCTCAGCACTTACTATGTTTAACTAGACCATATTTCACACTACCCAACACTACTTAACTGCGAAGGAGCAATATTCACATAACTGGAGCAAGGAGTTTTTTGCGGTAGAAGATTTTGCTCAAAGCGTAGTTATTGACGTCTGAAGCTGATCGTACCTTACTGTTCGACTGCAAAGCAGCAATGTCCACAGAACTAAGGGTAGGCGTTTGTAGACTGTGCTGATAGCAAGTTTGTGGCGTCTGCAGTTATTCGCACCTTACGTGCGTTTTTCTTCTCTACTGTGTTCGGCATTAGCGCTCGCACATTTTAGACCTGACATAAAGGTAAGAAAGTCCAGAAGGACAATAATTCATATTTTCTGTTGATTTTGAGTTCAAGCCTTTTGGGAACATGATCAGAATGCAGGTTGATAGTGGTAAATATTCACTGAGCACCCTTGCTACACATATTGAAATTTCGCATAGTTACATCAAGCAGGAAATTNCGCTCGCACATTTTAGACCTGACATAAAGGTAAGAAAGTCCAGAAGGACAATAATTCATATTTTCAGTTGATTTTGAGTTCAAGCCTTTTGGGATATATGGAACATGATCAGAATGCAGGTTGATAGTGGTAAATATTCACTGAGCACCCTTGCTACACATATTGAAATTTCGCATAGTTACATCAAGCAGGAAATTAGTTACAGCTAAGAACTCAACTGAAGAAGCATTTGGCCGAAGGCTTTTGAGCGCTACTGTATATATAGTGAAGCGCTCTGATTGTCTGTCTGTTTGTTTGTTTGTTTTAGAGATAATAGAGCGATAAATGTGGCCAAATCCTCGAAGTGGGCGGGGTAGGCACTAAAGTGGGCGGGGCCTAGATCAAAGTTTCGTAACTCTAATCAGACACGTTCTAGAATGCAGGAAAAAATTCTTATTCTCATAATCCAACATTCCACTGGTGATTCCTTAGTAGATAAGCGGTCGTCGGCCCAGAGAACGAAACGTTTCAGAACACCTCACCTTTCCGATAAAAGATATGCACAACAGTTTTAAACGGTCCCACGCACATCTCACGGCCTGAGAAGGGCAGTAGACATCGCGGCTGAGGTGCACCAAAATCAGCTTCTGAGTCCGTTCCCTGATCACACGTATGATAGCTGTCTTCACTCCGAGAACTTTATCACTTCAGATCATTGTCTTCCCTTATAACAATACTTCGGTAGCGGAGAGCAGCGGAACTTAAAGGGCAAGCTGCATAAATGGAAAAAATGGGAAGAGCGCTGGCGGAGATTGGGCTCTGGCTAAACGTAAGCAAAACCAAATTTTTTAGCTCCGCGAAGTAGAAGGTGTGAAAGCAGACGGTCTTGAGGAAGCCACGATAGGGTCATGCCTTCCAATACATGGATACATGGAACCTAGCCGGTGCTGGTAGCGTGGACCAGGCCGTAAAGCCCAAATAATCGCGACTTCGATGAAAAGGTTGCTCAATGGCTCAATGGTATCCTCTGCGGGGACGTTGCTCCATGGCCTTCAAAAGGAAGGTGTACAGGACAGTGGTGAGGCGAGTGCTGACCCTTACGCAAAAAATCATCAAAGGTAACTTCATTATGCTCAAATGGAGATGATCAGCTGGCCGTCGGACACGATTGGAATTGGACAACTTCAGAAAGGAGGAGTTCAAGTGGTCATGTGAACAGCCCGTGTCCTGATGAAAATGAGAGGGTTGCGATGGCAAGGACACATACCAAAAAAAAAAAGAATTATCCGAAAAAAGAGGCAAAGGAGTTCGAGATTAATTGGAAAAATCACACGATGTGTTCCAAAACAAGGGCTGGCGTGACGTAATAAAAAAAGTACCTTGGCGAAACTAAAATAAAGGCAACAGATGCCGTAAGTAGATAGGATTAGAGAAAGGTGACAAGAAGTGCGGACTTTGCGACGGTGCTGGTTCAGTGCTATTGAGAAAAAAGGAAGAGAAGGAAGGTACCCGATTCGATAAAGTGAGAGAAAATCTCGCATTATAAAAGTTCGATAGAGATTTATTGGACGAGATAGAGACAGAGCAGATTCTTCTGCTAGAGAGGTTCGGTATCAGTGAAAAGTACGGCAAGAAGAGCAACGACACGCCCTGAGCTGAATTGTGTCTAGAGGAAGCGAGAAATGCACAGAATCGTCGGTTCCCATTTGGAAGTTTGTATCTTATGACGTTGGTTTAGAACTTTTTCTTCCCTGATCAAAGCTTTTCCTTACCTTCCCTCCTTCTTTCAAGCCCATAGACCTTTTCAACTTGTTTGTATATATACCCCTTTACAAGTTATTAATTTCTCGAACATCGGTCTTGATGGTCACTTTGGTATCCTATGCACCTCGAATCTCAGTAGTTCACCTATGTCCCAGCAGTTCGTCCTTCATTCATTCGGTTTTTGAATCTTAGAACTCCGTGACACTTCTTTACAAGTGACACGCCGAAGTCTGCGTGCGCTTCGTATAGAACTGTCACGAAATATCGAGACATGATTGGGGCCTCAGATGATTTTTGTTTTGATATGGCTTATTCATGAGCAGACTAGAAAGCACACGAAAGAGGAAAGCTCATAATAAATCAAGCAGTGATGATTATTCACGGAATGAAACAAGAAAGCATTACCAATAGAACTTCAATGAAGTTTTCTAGTTGGACACATTCATTACCTTTGAAAAAGTAGCGTAGCAACCAGCAAAGCAATAAGATATTTAGTAGGCATACACCTGATTCTGATTTTAGCGCAGAATTTTTTACATTTCAGATTTATAGTAATGATTGCTGAGGAGGAAAATCTATAACATATACCGTACTAAGTGAAATATCTATAAAATGTTGTTTAGTCAATAATACTCAGAGCTTCAAAACTCAATCCTCGTTACTTAGGCTATCATCCGCTTTGAATTACCATTCAACACACTACTTTCTCAGACGAATTGTTAACATCAAAAGTGCTGATGTGAGGCCTATTCCAAGAAGTAGAATGTTATCATGCATGAAAATGGGTAACCAATGATTTTTGGATCTTGAACAAGAGTTACCCAAAGAAAAAAAGTGTTTCCAGTGGCTCAATCAAGTTTTTATAAGACAACATTCAGATTTTTCTCATTCTTCTCTTATCGGTAGTAGCGACATACTTTTGTGACTTCTTGCAGCTACTTGTGACCTGATTGCAATCACATGGAACGATGGTAAGTTATCTCGACGTTCTTTAAAGAGTTCTCTTATGACATATTGGCAGTCGGAAGAAGCTAGATGTTTCAGGATTATTTTCCGTTTGTACTCTGCATTTATTTAACGGGATCAGATCTCGTATCTGGAGCAGGGGTTCCTGGTCAGTATTCGTCTTTACTTCAGATCAGCCCTGCTGAAGATTACGAAACTGACCTCTTTTTTACAGGTACACTGAATACTCAGAAAATTTCTCCTGAAGCTCAGGTGCTTAGCGGTGAGGCTTTAGTCAAATATCTCAATGAAAACCAGAAACTCTTCAAGGTATGTTTTGGTAGAAATCCTCATATGAAAACTATGGGCGAAAAAGTCGTTTGCAGGCTAAGCTAACACCGGCAAGCTATGACGCGAAATACAAATTGATGGATTTGAAGTTTATAAAACAGAACGGAAAACCTGATGTTGTGGACGACGAGAAGGACAGTGGCGATGATATCCCGGAAAGGTTTGTCGTTATCGCTCTGAGCATTCTTCGAGTCGAGTAGTCGATTTCCGCTTGGTCGACTGGACATTCTGAAATATGCAACTATAAAAGGACCGACATTGATTGATAGAGCATGCATTCAGTTATACCAGAAATCTTTCGTGTTCCTGAACCGAAATTGGCTAATGTGTTGAATAAAGTAACCAAGTAGCATCGGTATTACGACAGTTTAAGATCTAAACGCACTGGCTTGAGCTGGGCAGCTACAGGAATCGAGTTTACGGGAGGTGAGACCCTATACCAAGGTGAGAGCTTTTGTGGTAATCTGGACTGCAAAACATTGAGTGAAGTGGGATTAACAAATGAGTTCCAACTTTTTGGACATCTTTTTAAGGAGCTCTTCTCAGTGCGGTAATAGTTACGGGAGCATAGTGGGTATTTTGATTTGATTTTGGGTTTCATTGGGTAAGGTTCTGACTGGAAATATTTCTACGCTCAAGGAATCTCAAGTTCATGGAAATGTTCGTTCTCACAATTTCCCTCATTACAAGATTCAAGGAAGAAGGGTGTCCAAAATGCATTTCGAAGAAAGCCACATACTGAGTTTTCGTTCAATTATTATACCTTCATGGCATTGAAATAACTTTCTAGAGTCAAGAAGCCAGCTTCTATCCATGGCGGCATTTAGTTGTCGTTTATAGCTTAGGCAAAGGTTTCCTAGAAGTCGTTTCCTTACAAATTTCTTGAATTGCTTTTCGTCAATTATCTTGTACATAGTTAACGGGCTGTACTGCAGTATAAGCACTGAAGTAAGCATGTGTATAATCTTTCACTTCCCCTTACTTAGTCGGATCCCTTACATCGGGTCTTCCACCAAAAGCCGTATCCATTGCGTACTACCCGTTTTGAACTTTGTGTGAAAATGTGAGCCTACACTAACATCGCGTAAGACATGAAAAACTCGTAGGAGCGTTACCTAGCAGTTGTTCGACGAATCTGTGAGAGTTAATCCTTTCTGATTCCATGGCACAAGGAAACTTATTACAGTTTCGACAGTCGGGACAAATGGCCTTATTGTTCTTCGCTGTTCCGGATTTATGATCAAGCAAATTGTGGTAAGCAGCTCAAATACCAATGGAAGGAAAACGCCTACAGCAGCATAACCGGTAAAAAAGCGTCCAATATTTTAGGTTCATGCTGGGCAGTCTCGTCGGCAGCTGCAATGTCGGATCGTATTTGCATTGCATCTAATGGATCCGTACAGGTACCTTTATCCCCCTACGGCCCCTACCCGCTCACTCAGAATACGATGTGGAATTTTTAGGTACTTCTCTCATCTACCGACATTCTGTCATGTTGCGGAGAACAATGTGGTTTAGGGTATGTTTTCTTTATGAGCTGTGATGTAAGAACTAGGGAGCCATTGCTCGCACTCCTATTTAACGTTAACCAAATGACGTTGCCCGATGTTCATTGAACAAGCCCCTGCTTTTATTGTCAAGATACGATAGCGAGCGAATGAAGCTTGGGAGTGGCCGTAAAGGATACCATATTAGTGAAAACCTTGTAGGAAAAACGAAGGAAAAGACAAAGGAATGTAAAGCGTGTTCTGCCTTATCAGTTTTTTACGCTAGTTCCATAGAATCATCAGCCATAAGGTACGAGCGTAAAAGTGAAGAGATGGGATACCAATCATGCAATTATCTAATGCCTATTGCGAAAACTATCAAAAACTACCAAACCGAGTATTGACTACATAAAAAGAAAAATGAAATATATGATCAAAATTAGAAGGATTAGTAAGGAGGAGGATCGATACGGTGAAGCAAATGAAAATATGGAGCGCGCTAAGATAGGATTGGTTGTTGAAATGTTCGTAGAGAATGAAAAATACGCGATGCGTTGGTATAGAGCAAGTCAATCAGGTGCGTGTAGAAGAATGAATCGTTGAAAATCTGAGAGTTTTTCGGCGTCTAAAAAAGCATCACTTGCTCCGCCTGTTGACCATCGACTTGCTCGAGCGGGCGCCAGTAACGTCTCCATTGGACTCTGTCGCGAACAAGAGTACTCATGGTCCAACGGTCATCTCGCGGTCATGTCCGGCACACCTGATCTTCGATTCCATGACATAAGCTGCGGCGTCCCTGATACTCGTTCGTTGACGGAGCTTGGAACTCTGGATTCCCTCATGCACTTGCGATTCCGATTTCGAGCGACGCTCTTTCCTCAGAGCGCTTAATGACACTGACATGCTCATCCTGCTTTCGCAATGTTCAAGTCTTCGAGGCGTAAGTCAAAGCAGGAAGGAGCGCAGTGTCGAGAAGGTGAGCGCTGACTCGGATGTTTCCTGTCTTCTTCACTACTGCTTCAATAATTCTGAATGCATTCTATGCCATAATTCCCACTACTAAAGTGCGGCTCCAGAACGTTCATCATATTAACTTATCGACCTAGATACACGCAGCTAGAGCATCCGCACATGTCAGCTTCGGCTCAGCGCTCATCTTTTCGACATTGCTGCCCTTTATGCTTTCCCGCACGCCTCGGAGACTTGGACGCCACTAAAGCCGGATGAACATGCTGTAAGCCTTGCTAACGTGTTTTGGGAAGGAGAACGTTAGGAATTTTCCTACACGCGCAAATGCAGAAGGGAATCCGGAGTTCCAAGCTCCGTCGACGAAAAAAGATCAGGTATGCCGTTGAATACGCCAAGAAATCGAAAGTCAGATAAGCCGTCACGTCGGGCGAATAATGATGACCGTTGGACCAGGGCGGTTACGGGATGGCTCCCTCGGGCCGTCGAGGAAATCGATAATCAATGGGATGGTGGCAGGTGATACAGGTGATACTATTTACTTTTGAAAAATTTGACAAGTTGCTAAACTCAGTGGAAGATTACGGCTATTGCGGCGAATCCACAATAAATTGCAGTAAAATTTGCACACAGAAACACCACTCGCAATAGCGAAGCACGTCAGTCACTGGTTTCGGCAAGGCTTACCAGGGAAGGATCCCAAGTCGAAGTGGCCATTTGTAATGAGACCTACACTGCTGAATGCGATTTTGGATAGTGAGTTCAAACCTGCTTTCTAAATTTGCCGATCGTTTCTCTCAACGCATTTATGAGGGTGGTTTCAGGGAGCTTAACAGGAGAAAACTTAAATCACATGGATGCACCTCCTCTGTCAAAGGCGGCTTGGTGTAGCGGTAAGCGTGAGGCTTCATGTGCGAGAGACTAGGGCTCGGGATTTGTTGGGGACGGAATCATTGCATTAGATAGAACCAGTTTGGCTATGCACGCTAACGCGTGCGGCATATGTCGACGGCCACTTACCCACGTTGGAGTCGTTCAGCAGAAATTTGGATAATCAGAATAAGATAACTCTCTTTAGATTCGATCGCTGAACTGCTGAGAGCATCACGCTCGATGTATTTGAGCAGAGTTATTAGTGGTTGGTCATAGCTCCGTCCACCTTAGTGCAAACCCTTCCCACTATGAACTTGTCCTCCCTTCTTTTGACTGCTCCTAACCATTTTTTCCGCATTCTAGAAAGTTTTTGAAGGAATGAGTTTTTGGACATAGCCCCGCTTTCCTGTGCCAACCCCGCCCAGTTCGAGAATTTGACCACATTCGTTCCAATACCTCTAACTACTTTTTTCCCGCATTCTAAAACGTTTCCGAACAGAGTTACACTCATTTTCGAAAGTTAGCTTTCACCTCAACGCACGCCCCGCCCATCATGACCCCGCCCAATTCCGGCACATGCCCCGCCCCTTGGGGGCGGAGCTCCGCTATGCTCACNTGTGCTCTGTTGCACTTACCCCATGCTCAACCCATTGCAAACTTGACCCGACTTCTCAAGGTGCTTCCTCATGTTATATCGAATTTCCGTACAAACAATCAGACAGACAGAGCACATTATATATAGTAAGGATTTTTCCCCTAAGGATTAGAAAATACTCTCATGGTGATTTTATCACGTTTTATGACCTTTTGATGCTTCACTGATACCTTCTCCTAACTACCTACCTGTTATCGAGCGGGAGATTTCCCTGTGCACAAAATTTGGAGCTCCGGGCGAGTAAAACGCATATGATAAGGAATGATGAGTGAGTATGCTAGAGTGAGTGTTGATGCTAGACTGGGTGCGATGGTGCGTAGCAGCCCTGACTCGCCAACACCGGCAGTGTTAAATCGCTTCGTGGACTTCCTTCGAAGACCAGAAAGCTATTCAGTGCGTGTTTCCTCCACGAAAGCAGACGAAGGGAATGACGCCCTGCTAACGCCCTAGTACAGCCGATAGAAGCACATTTTTTATTTCCTCTTGAAATGTGGTTAAACGCACCACCTCATATGTAATAGCTCATGATCTCAACTTTTGCGAGTATACACGAGACCCCATTCTTCGCTTACCATCGCTTGTCTACTTTCAGTTCTGTGCTGTAAGATTTAGAACATCTCCCTTTTACTCATGTTGTGCCGCCGGCTACTTGAGTACACCCCGGTGTTTTTGGGGCGCCTACACGATACTGTTTTCCTTTTGATTTAGGGTTAGTAAGTGCAATGCAATGGGCTGTGACGAGTTCTTTTTCATCCGTTGCTCCCATTGTGAGAACCTTGCTTGTTTGAAGCATTTCGTGCTAGAGTGACACATTTAGTGGCAAAAGCTATCCTACTGTGAGTGTAGAGTGCATGGGCATGCGAGTAAAACTGAAGTATTACATTAGTGGATAAATATCAGCGAAAGCATTAAGAGGTCATAAAACATGATAAGATCCTCCATTCCGTACCCCACAAAACCCGAATCCTAGTCTCTCGCACATGAACCCTCACGCTTACCTCTACACCAAGCCGCCGCTGAGAAAAGGGGTGCATCCGTGTAATTTTTCTCATGTTAAGCTACCTGAAACCGCCCTCATAACACCATTCAGAGAAACGATCGGCAAATTTAGGGAGCAGGTTTGAACTCAGCATCCAAAAACACATTCAGCAGTGTAGGTCTCATTTCAAATGGCCACTTCGTCTTGGGATCCTTCCCTGGTTAGTCAAAAGAGTGCGGAGATTGAGAAATTGAATGATAGAACTTTTTTGGAGAAAATAAGGCAGTCATTCTTGAGAATAGGATAGAACAAGGGGTATCTGCTTGACTGAACGGTGTAAAACTTTTGCTATTTTGATCAATCTTTTATATCAACAAAGGCGTATAGACAAACATCAACATTACTATCTTATTAATCTAGGAATAAAAATCCCGATAAATCGATGTATTATCTGTAAATAATTTTCATTCATTCAGATGTCGTGGTGGTTACACAATTAAGGCTTGGGAATACTTCGCAGGAAGTGGAGTCGTCACCGGTGGGATTTACGGATCGAGGGTAGAGTCGTACAAAATTTGAGTTATTCCGTAAAGATGACATGCTGTTTTTGTCAATAGGATAACTGCCGTCCTTACCCACTTCATCCGTGCGGATATCATGCAAACGAAACCTACTACGGAGAATGCTATGTCTCAGCGTCAACACCAAAATGCAGGAAGAGATGCCTACCCGGTTACAGTAATTCCTATGCAATGGACAAGCGATTCGGTAGGCGATGGATTCATTTAAGGAAAACATTCCCTATCATTTGATTATGTGTTGATTAGGAACTACATCTGAACTCACATCAGAGAAAGAGAACTTGGAAAGTACCATATCAGGAAGGAGACCAGAAGAGAGATCATGAAATCAAAAGAACTTGACTGTGCTACCTAATATGGCCGTGACTTACTCACCGCAAATAGAATTTGAAATCACCAGACAGAGATTTCTTATTGTCTGCAAAGCCCCTCACACCAAAAACTTAGATCCACATTGCGAGTTCAGTGGTCTGTTGCCCACATTCCTAGGCTTCACTTACCAATTAGACCTAGCCAAATACACTGTTTGAAGGAAATGGAACACACCATTCAGACCGGTGTTCTGGCTGTAGCATCTATGACAATAATGACTACTCCACAACCATTGATTAGAAACCTTTCAGCAAAAACTATTAAATAAATCCTTTGACATTTGCTACCGCTCAGACCAGATTTTAACCTAAAAATTTGAACCCAAGGTTTTAGCCAAGGAAGCCTACCAACTACCAAACAAGGTGAAAATCATCCAGAGAGATATAATGAAGAATGGACCAGTCGTTGCATCGTTTGCAGTCTACGACGATTTTAAATATTACGAATCCGGAATTTATAAGGTGAGATCTTACCTTGTGCTCAATTCAAAGCATTCGTGATCATTTTCAATTTTTTCGGTGATAATCGCCTTATGTGCTAAGACCTATAAAACACTTCTTTTTCTCGAAATTTGATTGAAGTAATGATTATGCTGATTATAGCACACTAGTGGTGGTGTACCAAATGGCGGTCATGCTGTGAAGGTCATCGGGTGGGGAACGGAAAACGGTACGGACTATTGGCTTATTGCGAATTCGTGGAACTACGATTGGGGAGAGAAAGGTGTGCTTTCAAAATGGTATGAAAACATATTCAGTTATGACGATGAACGAAGAATGGTGAGTATTCCAGGAAGTCCACCCACAAAATAATAAAATTTAGGGCTAGAAATATCATGATTACAAGCCGTGTTGCAGGTTACTTCCGCATGATTCGTGGAGAAAACAACTGCCTAGTCGAAAGTGAAATGGTCGCTGGACTCATCGATAATGATAGTTGAAAAAATGTACAAAGTAAACTATGACTAATAAAAAGTTGTTGCCCTGAAAAATCCCTGTTTCATCAAGAAATAGAGAGTTCTGGGTTAGTTTCCGAACACTAGCAAATGAACTCAGAGATTTACTATTGAACATCGATCGAGCAGCTTTATATACTCCATCTTGGGGTGGTGCCAAAAGTTACATGAACGGCAATGAGATGACTCACACCACTGCCACTGTTTTGTTACAGCTCCAATGTAAAGAATAAAGTCTTAGTGCGTTGATCAACACCATCTGAGAGATGCGCCCACGCATTCGTTTGCCATTCAGAATCGTAGTGGCGGATTGAATGCGTATGTAGCCTGTCAATTATTAAAGTGGGCAGCCGATGTACGAGTTAGTTTTTCTGTCCTCTAAGAATAGCCTGGTATCAGATAACCGACCTCGGAGGGATGGAAGGCTTGGTTGGTCTCGGCGAACATCGATCCGTGGTTCAACCACCCGTGACTATGCGCGTGAGATAGTACGCCACTTGCCACTATACCCTCCCCGCCCCATTTCACCACATTTCAAAACTTGCCAAAGGTAATCAGTATCCTGGTAATACCAAATGGGTGGAATCGGATACGAGTCCCTCGCTCTTAGCAGTGACTGTCCTTTCTATCATATCTTCTTTGTACCAAGATACAAGATGGACTACAAAACCGAAAACTACAGAAAAGGAATGTTTTCAGCGGGAAGAGGTCGAGCTAGTGAACACAGCTATCTCTCAGATGGCAACGCACTAGCCTGCTATCCCCATCAAGTGGAACGGCGTGCGGATCACTTTTACCAGTCCCTCCGCCCCCCCCCCCCCCCTGCCCTAAAATCATCGTTCATTTCAGACGGTGCGTGCGCAAATGGCGATTTCAACTCATAAGGGTTAACCATGCCATTATTGTAAATCAGAAAACCGTGACGTTTCGCCTATCTGCTCCCTTATTATGGATTGCAAGTGCCAAAAGAACGGTAAGGTGCAGTGTACCGATTTCCAAGCTGCTAATCTCTTTTCGAAGGAAGCTGAAAACCGCGTCTCAATCCGATGTAATTATATAACCATCAGAACAAAATCGGCAAAAATCATGGCACTGACTAACAGAACTCCTGTTGCACCTGGAGAGAAATTCGAGGAGACCGTCGGTCTAGTGAGCGATTCTGTCAACACTGCTCATGAATTTTCCCTCCCCGCAATGTGTGACTGTCCTAATAATGCACTCGAGTGTAGGAAACAACAGCACGTTACGATGACCTAGCGAAAAATCTTTCAGAGTCCCGTGCCAACCAGAAGGATTAAGTATCATTCTACGCTTCAAGGGTTAGCACAATCCAGCAAGAGTCAGAAGAATATTTGTCGTGACTTTTGCGCCTCGAGCAAAGCTGCTCCAATCATACGGTGTAAGGATACCGCGTGCGTCTCATATTCAAATCTGCCAGAAGCCTCTAGAAGGCAGAGTGGAAGCCCTTTGGCGCCAAAAGCACACCAGTTCATCTCATGTCAACCCATTGATCAGCTGCGCACTCAACCGTCTCTACTACACGGAGCCACGCCAGGAGCACCGGGAGCTACCGATATTAACACACTAACCATCCAACTATGACACACGCTAGGACCACCTCAGGTAACTCTTCTCATTAGATCTTACCGCAGTTCGCACTAGGACTTCAGTAGTTGTTCAATATTGACCAGTAGTATTTCACTTCCTTAGTTATAATTTCCTCTCACTAGTGCTTCACTTATTCAACCTTAGTTATCTTTACTATTGCATCATACTTGTCCGTAGTACCACCATGCTTATGCACTCTAACATTACTACCTTATGCGCACCTTCAGTTTTACACTTTACTTACGCAATTGCCACTTACACTGCAAACTATTTGCCTGTTTATTTACTTGTGTCATTTGGAAAACATGAAGAGTATAATATAGTCGTGTAGTGTCTACTTCGGTATATCTCTCGTTCCATCGTCGTCCTCGTCTATCTTCTTGGCAAGTCATCCGGCTCTCGTCGTAGTCATTCCATCTAGACGTCCGCCACTTGGTCATTCTTCTCGGGCATTCGTTCCTTCCTTTTCAGATATCAACCGTTGGCTCGGTTGGAGGGTTGGAAGGCCCCACCGGTTCCTGCAGCAGGATAGAGGCTAAAGCCACGAGCATTCACAGGCGCACCACCATCAACCCTCAGGTGCGGTGGGCACCAGGAATCCCACAGCCACGACTTTGCGGGGCTCCACTGCCGATGCAGACTTCTCCTCGGAGCTCTAGCCAAGGTCACGACAATATTCAAGGCTCCCTGCGGTAGTACTGGGATGTCTACCAAATTGTTGGAATTCGGCATGGGTTCGCACAATTCACGAATCGACCATGAAGATATTAACGGAGAAAGGGATGTGTACGATGAGCTCGTACTTTTCGATTCTGGTCATAAGTACGTAAGGGCATTTCGGTAAGAGCAATTTCAGAAGGCATTCTTTACTTCTACTTAAAGGTCTTTGTAGCTGGTTTCATACTGATTCTCGCATTAGTAATAGGATTGGGCTAGAAATTACTCCGGAGATCTTTGCAATATCTCTAAAAATTGCAAAAGGGCTACTGCGTATCCCTATGAAGACGTATCATGATGGCACTGTGATTACCATCCTGCCACAGACCAAAGAAACTGCTTAGAGATTCCATCCGCGCACAAATCGGGTAACCTTCTACCTTGTATTATCTACCTTTGCCTATACGTTTCCTTTCTTTAGCGATGGCAGAGGCAGCAGCGACAGAAACTACGAACAAAAGCACAAAAGCCGCTATGTAGCTAGCCAAGCCAGCAGTGAAAAATGTCAATCAAGCGATTGCTGATGTTATCGAACAAACTTGCCCTCCCTCCAAAATATCCAGCGAAGACAGTTACCAATTCGGAGCCAGCTCAGGCTGCGACATTGTCGTCGTTAAAACATCCACATTCTACACCACCATTTTTTCCCTCATATGAAGAAGAACTTTACCCAAGAACAACGTGAACAAACTCGCGGTTACATTCTCCCCGTCTCGTGCAACATACTGATGTTTGAACCATCTTGAAGAATTGATAAAGGCATATCAAAAGCAGAATATTAACATACACAAAACGAAGGAAGCTGAACTGAGAAAGCTTCATTTCAAGATGGACATCTTGACGGCTCACTTTCATCAAATGGAACAGAGCAGAGGAATGGGTGCGATACCTTTTTGCATCCAATAAAGAATGTTAAAGCTATTACACCTATACTTTTAAGATGCTGAAAGCAAAAAATAGGCATACACGAAAAATGAAAGCGTGACAAGAACTGTGCTGACACGTGTCCAATCTGACCGCACACACTGACTAAATTGACTGGCGGAGATCAGACTCGTCGGTAACTGCGGTCACCGTAGAGAAGTAGATTCCTTACAGAAACGATGAGGATTCATAAAGACCATCTAAGGTTTCTGGCTCTCCCATTCCAAGAAGTTAGCTGTGCACTAAAAGAAAATCCATGCATTTTGCATAAGTACTGCCAAAAGTACCCCACGGTTGATGAGTCGAGATCAGTTTCATCCGGTGATACGGTATGCCACGTCGTTCAGCAACCGAATTCAAGCAACCTGATATCGATTGTTTTGCAGTGAAATACTAGATAGCAAAGGAGGGAAGAAGTCTCTAACAAATGTAGTGAGCCCAACAGTTTTGTTGGATCTTCTAATTCGCAGTATCAAAAGTTGTGGCATAACAAACGGTTTCATAATAAGAAGTAGGTAACGGGAACATAAAAACCCTCTCTAAAGCTACTTTTTGAAGAATTCGCATTTTTGCATCAAAGAAAGCATTTTCTTACAAAACGATAAAGAGGGGATTTATAATACTTCTGCTATGTGCAGTATACACTCGAACATCTATGTTATTTAGAAAGGAAGGTCTATGTACGACGAGCTATGAAATCTTGCACAATGGAAGTTTCTCTTCGCAGATTACTTCAAACTGCTTCGTTGCGTTAAGAATCCCACATTTATAACGCATCAGATGGTCTGTCGTTCTTTCGGGTGTGTGTTTGGGTGTGTGCGTGTGTTGTGTGCGTGTGTTGTGTGTATGTGTGTATGTGTGTATGGGTATGTGTGTGTGAGTGTGGTGTGTGGGTTTGTGTATGTGTGTATGTGCATGTGTGTCTGGGTGGGTGGGTGGGTGTGTGCGTGGTGTGTGTGTATGTGTAGTGGGGAGTGATTCTAATTACATACTTAAACGATCGTGACGTGAGCAGGGTATGTGTGTGTGAGTGTGGTGTGTGGGTTTGTGTACGTGCAGGGCTACGCCCAGGAAGGACGCTGAAGAGTGCGTCTGGTTGTATTTT